ACCAAATGCATAGCGTGTTGCTAGAGCGCTGAGCGCATACAGGGCGCATACAGTGTGCATACAGACCGTACACAGAGCGCACATGATAACAACTTCCACGAATGCACAGCGTGTTGCTGGCGCGCTGGACGAATGGTCCACGCATCTACGACGCACGGCCCGCGCATTGGAAATCGGAAAAGGCCGTGTGCCTAACTTTTGTCATGATTTTGGAAAAGCTAGCGAGCTGACAAAAAATGCACAGCGTGTAGCTAGCGCGCTGTGCGTATACAGGGCGTGTGCTCTGCGTATGTCTGGCGCTGGTCTAGCGCGCTCCACGCATGTCTGGCGTGCCTTTGGCGTGTACATTCATGCGTCGAGCTCCGCGCTCACTTTTGAGCATGCTCAAAAAAACCCGACGCACACAGCGAATGACGACGAATGCATAGCGCTGGTCCAGCGTTGGATCAGCGCGCTCGACGAACGAGTAACGAATGATGACGCACGCCTAGCGAACGACAACGCACTGGCCCAAATTGCAAATTTCCAGTGCGCTGGCCGTGCGTCCCCCATGCGTCCCCTCTGTGTGACCTGGCCTTTAAACCCAAACACATACTAGTATTCATGGGTTGTTACATTGTCAGTCTTAGACATTTCCTGAAGCCCATCTATGTGACTCTCATACTGCGGAATATTTCATCCAATTATGCCCGGGTTCTCGTAGTCATGTATTGCTTCATAGTCGGTCTCAGGTTTTACCTGAAGCCCATGTACGGGACTTTCATTACCTAGTAAATTATTCCTTCCAACTACACTATTTGTAAGGTCCTGGTATGCGTGTGTGATTTCACAGTCGGTCTCAGGGTGCACCTGAAGCTTATGCAAGGTCTTACAATACTCTGGACCAGTTTGTCCATTGGTCCCATTGATAGGTACCTCATACCCGTCTCCCTCGGAGATTACCTCTCTTAATGGTTCGTATACTTGTAACGTAGGGCCATCATGGGGAGTCGTAAGGGCCATGTATGGATCATTCCCGCTATGACAACCCGCAACGTCTGTCAACCGGAGATCGTGAACATCGGACGATTCAAATGTCGGGTTGTCTCTCATTCCAGGACTCTCCCGAGGCTCTTTGGAGGCAGTATTACGTTTAGATGACCAATGCTTGAGCCTGATATCATAATGAAGACAGTGGTACAATTTATTAGAACGGATGATTAAAATGAATGGTACGAGGCTAGTCACTATTCACAGAGTTTAAAAAACCGACGGCCCATAATACAAACAATTTTTTTATCTCTCTGTCTTTCCTCAAGTATTCCTTTGTGTTGTCGGTCTCATGGGCCTTCTTTTCTAAAATCAAATGTATTTCTTTGTTTCGTCTGTCTACCGGGATGACCCCCAGCAAAAAAAAGTGAAGGCTATATATATTTATAAGAAAAAAATGTCAATAACCTTTCTATCGGGAATTTTTTTGGGAAAAAGAATGGATTCACAGGTCAAACATGCACTTATCTGGTTTCATATGATCTTAGACTCAATATTCAACATGACCCCTCCATCATGTCTATCAAAATAGAGGAAACGAGCAAGAACAAAGCATTTTTTTTACATATCCTCAGAGTATGGTCTAGCAAATTATCAGAGGACATGTGTTTATTTGTACTTGTATGCACGTTGGTGTATGTGTGTGCGCACACTTACATAATATTACAATCATTATTGATGTATAATTTTTAAAAAAGAGATAATCTCATACCACGAAAGAGTTCACCCCTCCCCAGAGTCATGTGGCTTCCCTGTTGGCTAAAATATATCTCTTCAATTTTACTTTGAACGATGTACTCATTTGCAACTTATTAAGACAATTATCTCTTCGCCTTAAATCATACCTCCGTTTGTACTTGACGAAAACGACGATGATTACGATGAACAGAATTGATCCTCCAACACCGGCACCTGCGTGTATAATAGTAGGAAAATGATTGAATTATCAATTATCATTAATCAACTACCATTTGTAAGATACTATAATAGGCCGAAAATAAATGAATTCAGATGTCAATAATAAATTGAACTAAATATGAAACGTCGATTTCATTTATTGTTCTTCATTTGACATCTGAGTTACACGTCTTTTAATGTTGGCATTTTTGTTTTGAAATGACAATTGGGACAGAAGGTTTCGTGCCATAATTATTCAGCTTATTTGTTTAATAATAATAATGATATGATAAGAATAATAATAATTATAAAAAATAACAATAATTATAAATATAATGATACTGTTGACTATAACAAAGAAAACTAATAATATTAATAATAATAATAATAGCTCTCAAGTGAGTTTTAAAACTTATGTTTGTGTTTAAATCACACACACACAATTCTCGGGTATTAGTGAAAGTATACCTAACTATTCAATCCTATATATATTAAAAGCAAAAGCATATTGACTCGAAAGTATTGACTCGAAAGTACAGAATATTCATTCTGATAACTTTTGAATAATTAATTCTAACTAAAGAATATATTTAAATGGTCATATTTACCCAGGGTAGCCACATCAGTATTAATATGCCTACTGTTCTTTCTGGGAGTCTTGCAATTACTATAAACTCAGCCAGGTAACCATTTACATCAGGGTGGAGATTGGCAAATATGGATTAGCATCTTGCCCAAACGACATTAGTGACGGGCTGGGATTTGAACCCTTAACCCTTGCATTGAGAGTCAAGTAACTGAGCCACTACACCACAACACCTACACGATAAAGTCTTTGATTTACGAGTACATTTTTTTGTCTGTTTATAATATACTCAGACGAGAGAGTGGGGTCAGTGTGCGTGTGCGTGTGTGTAATGTGTTTGTGAGGTAAATGCTGTACCGGTGTTGGCCCTGTTCTGCTCCATGACTCAAAATAAAACGACAGAAAAAACGAATTTTGTAAAATATTACCCAGCTTTATAGATAGTGTTGTTGTGTCGTTGTCCTGAAGACCCGTTGTCATTTCAGGATGAGTTGTGAGTGTCGAATAGGTTGCCACCAGTGTTGTATCTGCTGTTTGTGTGTCTGATGGGGTTATAACCACAGAATCTGAAAGGGGAAATCGAGAGGAAATGCAACAATACAATTTTGCAATTTTTTGTTTTAGGTTGGATATGTTTTAATTGACAGAAAACAAATTAAATGAGGAGGCATCTCTAAAGAATGAATATACATTATTATCATATGCTATATATAACTTTATAATTTATATCAAATTTTGCACATGATGATAAATCAAAACTTACAAAGTCCTAATGTTTCAAAATCCGTAGAAAGCCGGATTTTGCTTTGTGACTGCAAATCATCTCCACGTGTCACAATGCATTGAGGTTAGTTATACAAAGATATTAAAGATAATTCGCATGTTTCTAGAGAAAAAATAATATATACATGTGTTAAATTTGATTTTTTTTTATTCATTTTAGTTCTAATGTTTTCTGACTGTTTTCAAAACAATATCTTTTTTTGTCGATCATAGTTCTATTTAGCTTATTATCTCATGGTAATGTTGAGGGAAAAGCAATCCAAGCAACAATTTCTGTAGCGACAATCGTTCGCCTTTGCTGCTCTTCAATACTACTATGACAAGCAGTATTAATTAATTGTTCAAGGAATCATGGTAAATTCGTTTAGTTGATTCCCCTCGGTTCATTCTTTTGTTCGAATTATTTGGCGGGGAGAGATAGAAGTGAACGGTCTCGCGCTTAACGACGTTGTATTATTATTCTTATTTGTTCATCGTCTTTACGATGCCCTTTGAATCAAAAACAGCTTTTATTGTTAGGCTTCCTGAAAGATATTTCAATCGTTGTTAAGACATTTTTGGTGGCACTCTGTAGATTATGATGACGTGTTTAATCTTGTTTTCAATAACAAGATCAGACACATGATACAAATCTACTTTGTGCTTGCCAATAAGTTCTTTACAGCAATAAACAAAAATGAGGTGTTATTCGGTGTGGTGTACACATGGCAATCACATGGTAGAGAAATGATCATCAGTACCGGGTCTAATAAAATAAAGAGAAGGGGGGGGGGGGGTACTGAGTAGAAACAAAAACGTAATGCTCCTTACACTCCCCCCACCCCCCCCCCCTCCTCACTGAGCGAAATATTGGTTGGCGCGATTTTCGAATTTCGGGGGCAAATATATATATATATATATGCTCAATACCCCCAGCCCCCATTGAGTTAAATATCGATCGGCGCGATTTTACACCCTCCTTGAAAATATCCTGCGTACGCCACTGTTTGGCCACATATCGTAACTCACGACTTAGCACATGCATAACTATTCTTAATGACTTTCAATACCTTGCCGTTTTCCTGACAATAATTATTAATACCAAAGATATGCTCGATCTATCATATCAAAGGCTTTTCTAAAATTCACAAAGGCGCAATAAATCATCCCTCCTATTGATGAATAAATATCCAGTAAAAATTCAACACAAATGCATGATCCATCGTGGAATAACCTTCACGAAAACCAGCCTGTTCTTTTTCCAAGTGCAGATTCATTTTATCAAAATATAAAGTAGTTCTATGATTCAATATTGAAGTGAACAACTTTCCTACACCGCTTAAAAGGGTAATACTACGATAGTTGTCTGGATCTTTGTCCGACCCTTTGTTTTTGTTATAGTGGGACAATCACCCAACACACTAATCTTTGGCCACTATTCCACTTTCTAGAACTATATAAAAAATAATTGTTATCACTTCCAGAACCTTAACGGTTACGTTTTACAAAAACTCATTTATAACTTGTTCAATAACGCATGCCTTATTGTTTTTCAATTTCTTAATCATCGAAATAACCTCATCGATAGTGATATCGTGAGAGCATTCAATTCATCATTTATGTCCAATTCTGACACTATGCATGGCATCGATATATGTGCTAAAAAGCTCTTGCACAAGAATATTAAGGAATAATATAAGGGTAATAATCATACACAACGTAAATACTATGGAAACGACTTACGGTTCTCGCAGTTCTTGCCTTCATATCCAGGTACACAGATGCAGTTATAGTCATCTATGAGATCGTAACATGTACCATTGTTCTGACACGGGTTAGAATCACATTCATTCGTCTCTGATAAAAGTAAGAGAAAATAGAAATACACCTTATTTCAAACACAAAGTGCAATTTACATAATTTGTCGACCAAATATGAAAGTAGACCAGCAAAGATGTATTTATATATTTCGGTTTATGGGGAAGGCATTTTTGGGATAATGCATGGCATCTATGCTAAAAAAAAAATCTTGCACAAGAATATTAAGGAATAAGATAGGGGTGGATGCCAATTTTTGGCTTAAAATTGGAAAGAATTTTTAAACAAAATCATTATTTTGAAATAAAAACATGGCCAACTTGTATCACATGATCAAAACCTTTCAATTGATATATCTATTGTTATGAGTTTGAATTAAAAACCTGTTTAATACACATTTGGATGTTCGATATTACACATATAATATGTATGACACAATGAAATGTAAAAGCGTGATTTGTTATAGTGGGACAATCACCCAACACACTAATCATTGGCCACTATTCCACTTTCTAAAACTATATTAAAAATAATTGTTATCACTTCCAGAACCTTAACGGTTACGTTTTACAAAAACTCATTTATAATTTGTTCAATAACGCATGCCTTATTGTTACAACCTCATCGATAGTGATATCGTGAGAGCATTCCATTCATCTTTTAGGTTCAATTCTGACAATATGCATGGCATCGATGTATATGCTCAAAAGCTCTTGCACAAGAATATTAAGGAATAATATAAGGGTAATAATCATACACAACGTAAATACTAATGAAACGACTTACGGTTCTCGCAGTTCCTGCCTTCATATCCAGGTACACAGGTGCAGTTATAGTCATCTATGAGATCGTAACATGTACCATTGTTCTGACACGGGTTAGAATCACATTCATTCGTCTCTGATAAAAGTAAGAGGAAAAAGAAATACACTGTATTTCAAAGACAAAGTGCAATTTACATTATTTGTCGACCAAATATGATAGTAGACCAGCCAAGATGTATTATTTTTGTTTATGGGGAAGGCATTTTTGGGGTAATGCATGGCAGGCGCGGATCCAGGGGGGGGGCCGAGCGTGCCTTGCCCCCCCCCCCCCCCCCCGCAAAAAAAAAAAAAAAGGAGAGAGAGAGAAGGAAAAGAAGGGGAGGAGAGAAAGAAAAAAAAAGGAGAGGAAGAAGAAAAGAAAAGAGGGAAGAAGGAGATCGGGGGGGGGGAAGGACTTGCCTCCCCTCTCCCCCCCCCCCCCCCCAAATAAAGAAATAAAAGAGAAGGAAGGAAAGGGAAAGAAAAAAGATAAAGAGGAGATAAAGGGAAGGACAAAATAGGAAGAAGAAAAGAAAAGAAGGGGGATATCACTTGCAATTTTCCCGCCAACAAGTTGTGGATCGAGGGGGGGAGACCCTAGCCTCCCCCCCCCCCCCGGTCCCCGCTAAAAAAAGAGAGAAGAAAGGAAAAGGAAAAGAGGAGAGCTAAAAGGGAACAAAAAGAAGAGAGAAAAGAAGCGGAGATCAGTTGCGGTTAATCCCGCCAACAATGTGTGGAGCGGGTTGGGGACCTAAATGACCGTGCCCCTCCCCCCCCCCCCCCAGCAAACCTAAAAGAGAGATAAGGAAGGGAAGGGGAAGTGAAAGAGGAGAGAAAGGGAAAGGAAAAAAAGAGAATGAAGAAAGGTAAGGGATATCAGTTGCAATTTTCCCGCCAACAAGGTGTAGATCGGAGGGGGGGGGGGGGCACTGGCATACTGATAGGGGAGGGGGGGCATTGGCATACTGATAGGGGAGGGGGTTGGAGAAATACAATTCAAACGTGGTTTATTTATAATTCCATAACGGTGGTTAACAAATAATGCTGAAATGAGATAATTTTCCTCACTTCATGCGTTTGTTGGAAAATGACAAATTCCTAAATTTACAGCCAGGCAAGAAAATGCTTCTTGAGATGCCTACATATCAGGGCCCGCGGAACGGCGGGGATCGGGATCCTCGAGCCCCTCCCCCCATAGAAATAGAAAGAAAGAGAGCGAGAAAGAAAAAATAGTTAACTGCCAGTGTCACATTATAATGGGGTATCAAAATATGCTCATCTGACCATGATTAAAATTAATGCCTAAAATCCTAAGGGCTCTGCCCCCTGGATTCCACCTAGGGCCCTAAGGCGGGCCCTTAGATGCTCATATGACGGTCATTTAATGCCTAAAACCCCTAATTTCTGGAGGCTCTGCCCCCTGGACCCCACGCCAAATAGTGTCCTGCTAGTTTCACAAATAATAAGGTATCAAAAATGCTCATCTGACCGTAATTAAACGCCTAAAACCCCTGAGCTTCTGGGGGCTCTGCCCCCTGGACCCAACCAAGAGCCCTTAGGCGAGCCCCTGAATGCTCATCTGACCGTAAATTAAAACCTTAAACCCCTGAGCTTCCGGGGCGGACAAGGTATCAACATATGTTCATCTGACAGCAGGCGCGTAGCCAGGGGGCGGTGGGGTGGTCCCCCAATAAACGCCGGCCAAAAAAGAGAGGAGTGTAAAGGAAGAGGACGTAGGAAGAAAAGGGAATAGACAAAGAACATATTTGAAATTCAGACAAGAATTAAGAGTCGAGAACGATACAACGAATCGTCTTCTTTCTCTAATGAATTAATGAAACGTCAAAGCTTCCGTGCTTCGCGCGGGTGGGGGAAACTAAATTATTTTCGAGAGCGGAACAACGAATCGTTTTCATTCTCTAAAAATTTAATGAAACGTCGAAGCGGGGGGAAAACTGAACTTAGACAAGGATTAAGAGTCGAGAGCGGTACAACGAATCGTCTTCTTTCTTTAATGATTTAATGAAACGTAAAAGCTTCCGCGCTTCGCGTGGGAGGGGGGAAACTGAATTTAGACAAGGATTAAAAGTCATAACGGTACAACGAATCGTCTTATTTCGCTAATGATTTAATGAAACGTAAAAGCTATATTCAGACGAGGATTATTTTCGAGAACGGTCCAACGAATCGTCTTCTTTCTCTAATGATTTAATGAAACGTACAAGCTTCCGCGCTTCGCGCGGGAAGGAGGAGGGGAAAACTGAATTCAGATGAGGATTAAGAGTCGAGAACGGTACAACGAATCGTCTTCTTTCTCTAATGATTTAATGAAACGTAAAAGCTTCCGAGCTTTGCGCGGGAGAGGGGGATGAATTAAGACGAAGATTAAGAGTAAAAAACTGTAGGCCTACAACGAATCGTCTTCTTTTTCTAATGATTTAATGAAACGTAAAACCTCCCGCGCTACGCGCGGGAGGGGAAAAACTATTTTCAGACAAGTAGGCACGTACGGAAGGGGGGGAGGGGGTTAGGGTTTTGACCCTCCCCCTCTTCGGTTTTTTATGTGTGTATTTTGGAGCACCCCCCCCCCCCCCCTTTTCTGTGATTTTTTTTTTTTTTTTTTTTTTTTTTTAATTAAAAAAAAAAAAAAAAATAAATAAATATGCCAATGGCTGACCTAAAAAAGGTGACCTCACCCCAACCCCCAACGGAACAAAATGTCAAATTTTTAAATTTCGAGACCCCCCCCCCCCCCCCCAAAAAAAAAGTGTCCTCTTCCCCACCACCCCCCCCCCCCCCCCCCCGCCGCTTATTTAGCGGCTGGCTGAGTCGTTACGATTTTTTTTCGGACCAAAAAAAAAAAGTGGGCCCCCCCCCCCCCCTAAGAAATCCTGGATCCGCGCCTGATGCATGGCATCTATGCTAAAAAAAACTCTTGCACAAGAATATTAAGGAAGAATATAGGGGTGAATGCCAATTTTTGGCTTAAGATTGGAAAGAATTTTAAAATGAAATATTGCCGACTTGTATCACATGATCAAGACCTTTCATTTGATATATCTTTCGTTTTGAGTTTGAATTAAAAACCTGTTTAATAAACATTTGAATGTTTGATATTACTAAGACGCAATGAAAGGTAGAAGGGTAATTTACTCAAATTGGTCTGCGTTACAGCACGCAAACATGATATACCACAAGAAGACGAAAGACCTGATGCATTGCTGATCTTCACCGAAACGGAGTTAAATCTTTTGTCAACTCTGTTTGTTGCTACGGCAGGTAGCCAGTGAAAACGAACTCGTTTGATCCAATTATGGAAATGCAAGCATGACTTTAAACAAACAGAACTTTGTTATTCCAGGCTCATTTTTCCTTATTGAGGTGTCATATGAAAGAGCAGAAATTGAACTTTCTAGAAATGCGATTTTCTCCTTAAAATTCAGATACCTCCCGCCAAATGACTTTTTGGTTTCCTCTCTTCAAATAGCTTTTAATCACTCATGCATAAGATATGAATCGTGTAAGTTGCATCAAATGAATTAGGAGGATCTAAGCTATCCAAATATGTGTCATTTGTTAATTATAATTGTGATTATGATAAAACATCGATAATTATCGGTTTCGTTTTTTCTTGGACGCACTGTATATGCTAAAAAGCTCTTGCACAAGAATATTAAGGAATAATATAAGGGTAATAATCATACACAACGTAAATACTATGGAAACGACTTACGGTTCTCGCAGTTCTTGCCTTCATATTCAGGTACACAGATGCAGTTGTAGTCATCTATGAGATCGTAACATGTACCATTGTTCTGACACGGGTTAGAATCACATTCATTCGTCTCTGATAAAAGTAAGAGGAAATAGAAATACACCGTATTTCAAACACAAAGTGCAATTAACATAATTTGTCGACCAAATTATGATAGTAGACCAGCCAAGATGTATTTATATATTTTGGTTTATGGGGAAGGCATTTTTGGGGTAATGCATGGCATCTATGCTAAAAAAAAACTCTTGCACAAGAATATTAAGGAATAAGATAGGGGTGAATGCCAATTTTTGGCTTAAAATTGGAAAGAATTTTAAACAAAATCATTATTTTGAAATAAAACAATGGCCAAATTGTATCACATGATCAAGACTTTTCAATTGATATATCTATTGTTATGAGTTTGAATTAAAAACCTGTTTAATACACATTTGAATGTTTGATATTACTATGACGCAATGAAATGTAAAAGGGTGATTTACTCAAATAGGTCTGCGTTACCGCACGCGAACATGATATGCCACAAGAAGACGAAAGACCTGATGCATGGCTGATCTTCAACGAAACGGAGTTAAGTCTTTTGTTTGTTGCTACGGCAGGTATCCAGTGAAAACGAACTCGTTTGATCCAATTATGGAAATGCAAGCATGACTTTAAACAAACAGAACTTTGTTATTCCAGGCTCATTTTTCCTTATTGAGGTGTCATATGAAAGAGCAGAAATTGAACTTTCTAGAAATGCGATTTTCTCCTTAAAATTCAGATACCTCCCGCCAAATGACTTTTTGGTTTCCTCTCTTCAAATTGCTTTTAATCACTCATGCCTAAAACATGAATCATATAAGTTGCATCGAATAAAAGAGGAAGTTCTAAGCTTTCTAAATATATGTCATTTGTTAATTATAATTGTGATTATGATAAAACATCGATAATTATCGGTTTCGTTTTTTCTTGGACGCACTGTATATGCTAAAAAGCTCTTGCACAAGAATATTTAGGAATAATATAAGGATAATAATCATACACAACGTAACTACTAATGAAACGACTTACGGTTCTCGCAGTTCTTGCCTTCATATCCAGGTACACAGATGCAGTAATCTATGAGATCGTAACATGTACCATTGTTCTGACACGGGTTAGAATCACATTCATTCATCTCTGATAAAAGGAAGGGGAAATAGAAATACACCGTATTTCAAACACAAAGTGCAATTTACATAATTTGTCGACCAAATATGATGGTAGACCAGCCAAGATGTATTTATATATTTTGGTTTATGGGGAAGGCATTTTTGAGGTAATGCATAGCATCTATGCTAACAAAACTCTTGCACAAGAATATTAAGGAATAAGATAGGGGTGAATGCCAATTTTTGGCTTAAAATTGGAAAGAATTTTAAACAAAATCATTATTTTGAAATAAGAAATGGCCAACTTGTATCACATGATAAAGACCTTTCAATTGATATATCTATTGTTATGAGTTTGATTTAAAAACCTGTTTAATACACATTTGAATGTTCGATATTACACATATAATATGTATGACACAATGAAATGTAAAAGCGTGATTTGTTATAGTGGGACAATCACCCAACATATTAATCATTGGCCACTATTCCACTTTTTGGACTATATTAAAAATAATTGTTATCACTTCCAGAACCTTAACGGTTACATTTTACAAAAACTCATTTATAATTTATTCAATAACGCATGCCTTATTGTTACAACCTCATCGATAGTGATATCGTGAGAGCATTCAATTCATCATTTATGTTCACTTCTGACAATATGCATGGCATCGATGTATATGCTCAAAAGCTCTTGCACAAGAATATTAAGGAATAATATAAAGGTAATAATCATACACAACGTAAATACTAATGAAACGACTTACGGTTCTCGCAGTTCTTGCCTTCATATCCAGGTACACAGATGCAGTTGTAGTCATCTATGAGATCGTAACATGTACCATTGTTCTGACACGGGTTAGAATCACATTCATTCGTCTCTGATAAAAGTAAGAGGAAATAGAAATACACCGTATTTCAAACATAAAGTGCAGTTTACATAGATTGTCGACCAACTATGATAGTAGATCAGCCAAGATGTATTTATATATTTTGGTTTATGGGGAAGGCAGTTTTGGGGTAATGCATGGCATCTATGCTAAAAAAAAAACCTCTTGCACAAGAATATTAAGGAATTAGATAGGGATAGATGCCATTTTTGGCTTAAAATTGGAAAGAATTTTAAACAAAATCATTATTTTTGAAATGAAAAATGGCCAACTTGTATCACATGATCAATACCTTTCAATTGATATATCTTTTGTTATGAGTTTGAATTAAAAACCTGTTTAATACACATTTGAATGTTTGATATTACTATGACGCAATGAAATGTAAAAGGGTGATTTATTCAAATAGGTCTGCGTTACCGCACGCGAACATGATATGCCACAAGAAGACGAAAGACCTGATGCATGGCTGATCTTCAACGAAACGGAGTTAAGTTTTTTGTTTGTTGCTACGGCAGGTATCCAGTGAAAACGAACTCGTTTGATCAAATTATGGAAATGCAAGCATGACTTTAAAAACACAGAACTTTGTTATTCCAGGCTCATTTTTCCTGATTGAGGTGTCATATGAAAGAGCAGAAATTGAACTTTCTAGAAATGCGATTTTCTCCTTAAAATTCAGATACCTCCCGCTGTAGTGATAGCTACATGTCGTTTAACAGAGTCTGCATATACAGAATAGCATGTATAACTAAATATAGAATGACCTGCAACCCATGACTCATGTCAGGTCATGTTATGAAACAATGAGTACTTGTACAAGAGATGCTACAAAGATGTCTGACTGACATAGAGCCTCAATAAAGCTATACAACTTATTAGTTCAATCAAAGCTCTCCAACTGGTCTTTTATAAGAACATAATATGATGTCAGAACTTAGCAGCCAGTGTTTGTGCTGAGCAACCCAGCCTACAGTATATATATATGGAGGAATCATTGAAATCAGGCCAGTTCAATCCAATTCTTTGTGATGTGAGAGATGATGAGAGGGCTTAGAGTCTAAGTGTATGTCCAGTGAATGTAGTTATGTCCATAATAGTTAGCGCTGTCGTTGTATGGTTTGGAGTGCATAGTTCTGTGCCGGGCCAGTTCCAGTATAACGGGCAGTAAGCATGACATATATGGGACATGAACATACAGAATAACTCAGTGAAAGTTAATAGTTGAGCTTAAAGTAATTGTTTCAAAGATACAAAAATAAAAAGCTAATTGTTATGCTGTTCATGTGAGTGACTACACTAGGCTAAGAAACAAAAAGAAACAAAATGGCAAATCTCAGTCAACCTCCTCCACTCGACTTAAGGGAAATATGTCCGAGAACTGGAGAAGATTTAAACAGAAATTCACTCTATACAATGTTGCCTCAGGAATGTCTGAAAAAGATGAAAAGTTCCAAACATCAATGCTTCTGCACGTGATTGGCGATGCTGCCTTGGAATTGTATAATACGTTTGTATTTGCTGAGGGTGAGAGCATGAAGCTTGAGAAAGTGTTGAACAAATATGAGGAATATTGCATTCCGAAACGTAATCTAACGTATGAGAGACATAGATTTTTCACAAGATCTCAGTTAGTGCATGAGAGTGTTGATCAGTACGCAACAGAATTGCGGAGTCGTGCTCAGTCATGTGAGTTTTCCATGTTGAAAGAGAGTCTTATCCAGGACAGAATTATCTGTGGTATTTTAGACGATGGTCTAAGAGAACGTTTGTTGAGGCAAGATGATCTTACATTGGACAAAACGTTGCAAGTATGTCGTGCGGCTGAACAAACTCGAACGCAGGCACAAGCGTTGAGTTCCGCAGGGGAAAACGCCTCAATTCCGGTAGATTCTTTTAGCAAGACTAAGAAGAAATTTCCTGATTCAAAGTCAAAACGGTCAGAACCTCAAGGTCGTACTAAAAATGATGCATGTAGCAGGTGCGGAAACCGACATAGCAAAGACAAATGTCCCGCACAAGGTCAAACATGCAAGAAGTGCGGTATTAAAGCAGAATCATTTTGCTAAATGTTGTAAAACCCCAGTAGCCAAGGTCAATGAACTGCAGCACTTGGAGGTAGATTCAGAAGGTTTCATGATTTGCTCTGTTGAATCAAAAGAATCCAAGGATGAATGGATAGTTAATCTACTAGTCAATAACCAGCCGGTTGACTTCAAGGTTGATACTGGTGCTCAGGCGAATCTTCTTCCTGAGACAGTATTTCACAAATTGAAACCAAAACCAAAGCTACAAAAAGCCAAAGTGATGTTGACAGGTTATTATGAGACAGATATCCCGGTCAAAGGTCGTTGTTGGGTACAAGTTGAGTACAAAGGGATCAAGCGTAATGTGCCGTGTCTAGTCATTCCTGGAAATCGTCAACCTTTGTTAGGATTATACGGACAAGTGAAGACTTGTATCTGGTGAAACGGGTGTATCATGTTGAGAAACAAACTGAACACGGAACGGGTAAAAGTGTAGTTCAAGACTATCAAGATGTGTTTGTAGGTCTAGGTTGTCTTCCTGGTAAACACCACATCACATTGAGAGAGGACGCACATCCTGTTCAGCATGCATGTCGCAAAGTTCCATTTCCACTTCAAGATAAACTCAAAGACGAGTTAGATAAGATGGAACGAATGGACGTAATCACACGAGTTGATGAGCCAACTGATTGGGTTTCTTCTCTCGTGGTTGTGATGAAAAAGAATGGTCAGCTCAGGGTCTGTCTAGATCCAAGAGACCTGAACCGAGCAATCAAAAGAGAACACTATCAATTGCCATCAAGAGCTGAAATAACTGCACATTTTGCAGGAGCCAAATACTTCAGCAAGTTAGATGCATCTAGTGGTTTTTGGCAGATCCAACTAGATAACGAAAGCTCCAAACTTTGTACGTTTATCACGCCATACGGAAGGTACAAGTTCTTGAGACTACCTTTTGGTATTTGTAGTGCTCCGGAAGTCTATCACAAGATAGTGCACCAACTGTTTGCACACATTCCGGGAGTTAACACAATGATGGATGATGTGATTGTATGGGGAATTACCCAACAGGAGCATGATGACAGGTTGAGAGAGGTTCTCAGCATTGTGAGAAAAATGAATCTCAAGTTGAACAAAGACAAATGCGAGTTCAATGTCAAGAAGCTCACATTCATAGGTGACTTGATCAGTGATCAAGGAGTCCAACCTGATCCAAAGAAAGTGTCTGCTATCTTGAACATTGAGAGACCGAAATGTCGGAAAGATGTCCAACGGTTCTTGGGTATGATCAATTACCAAGGGAAGTTCATTCCAGATCTGTCGACCAAGTCAGCAGCACTGAGACATCTACTAGACAAAAAGAATGTATGGACATGCGATCATGCACAAGAGGATGCATGGAATCAGCTGAAACAAGCTCTGATACAAGAGCCAGTCCTACATTTCTATGACAGCAAGAAACCAACCAAGCTGTCAGCAGACGCATCAAAGGATGGTATTGGTGCAGTGCTACTACAGCAATATGATCAAGATTGGGTTCCGATCGCATATGCATCTAGATCAATGACTGATGCAGAGACTAGATATGCACAGATCTAGAAAGAATTGCTGGCAATCACATACGCATGTGAAAGATTCCATCAATACATCTATGGACAACAAGTAGAAGTGGAGACTGATCACAAGCCACTTATTCCACTGTTTGTAAAGTCACTGGGTGACTGTCCCCTACGCATTCAAAGGTTACTCATCAGGGTACAGAGATATGATCTCAAGGTCTTGTACACGCCTGGAATGTACATGTATACTGCTGATACATTGTCCAGAGCAGTAGATCCAAAGGATGAGTTGAATGCTGAAACTGAGGAGGATATCAGAGTCTACGTAGATGCTATTGTCAAGAGCATGCCAGTTACATCGAACAAACGAAATCAGATTGTCGAAGAGACAAAGAAAGATGATCAACTGCAAGAGCTGCTAGGCATCATCAGAGATGGTTGGCCGGAAATGAAGCAGCAATGTCCAGTTAGAGTCAGGGAATACTGGAACATCAAGAGTGAACTCTCTGAAGCACATGGCATCATCTTCAAGGGCAGCAAAATAGTGGTTCCCACTACTATGAGAAGGTTCATGCTAAACAAAATCCATGAAGGACACTTAGGCATCGAGAAGTGTAAGAAACGTGCAATAGAAGTCATCTATTGGCCCAGAATCAACACAGACATCACTGAAATGGTCCAAAGTTGTACTTCATGCCTAATGTACAGACCAAAACAGCAAGCTGAAAGTCTACATCCTCATGACGTGCCGAACCGCCCGTGGGAAAAAGTTGCTGTTGATTTGTTCACGCTGAACCATAGAGAGTACATGGTCATCGTCGACTACTATTCACAGTTCATTGAAGTATGTACTATGACTTCTACTAGTAGCAAGGCCGTGATCAACCACATGAAAGCAGTATTTGCTCGCCATGGAACGCCATGTGAACTCATGTCGGATAATGGTCCTCAATTTGCAAGCCAAGAGTTCCAGAGCTTTGCAAAAGAATGGGATTTTCACCATTCTACATCGAGTCCATATTATCCGCAATCCAATGGCCTCGCAGAGAATGCTGTGAAGATTGTCAAAAAACTCATATTGAAGTTACCGCACAGTGGACAGGATATCCACAGAGCTCTACAAGTCTATCGCAGTTCACCACTAGCATGCGGAAAGTCTCCGGCAGAACTCCTCTACAATCGTCGACTTCGATCGAATCTCCCCATGCTTGACAGTTTACTCGACAACCAACAGGTCAATACTCGATTGGTGAGGGGAAGAAAGGAGGATCATAAGGTGAAGCAAAAAGAGCGATTCGACAAACATGCTCGAGACTTGTCAAAGCTAAAGCCTGGAGATCATGTCATACTCCAAGACATGAAAACCAACACCTGGTCGAAACGTGGTATTGTCAGGTCTGTCCAGGATCGAACAGATCATACCAGATCGAGACAGAAACAGGACAGATGCGTCGCAGAAACAGACGTCACCTCAGGCCAGTCCCACGTCAACAACAAGCCGAGTCTATTCCACTACCAACACAGGATGACTTCGAGCTAGATGACACTGCAGAAGCTACAGAGCAACCAGCATCTGAAGAAAGCTCAACTACGTCATCAACCAGAACCAGAAGCGGACGAGTTATTAAACCGCCAGATCGCTTGAACTTGTAAATAAATGAAAGCAAACTACAGAGAAAGACTTTCGCGTTTTGTAAATAGTTTATAGTTACAGAGTTCAACTTGGACTTTAAAACATAACTGCAGGATTACATGAGCATGATATATATATTTGCATGTTATAGTTTAAAAATATATATATCATGCTCATGCAATCCTGCAGTTATGTTTTAAAGTCCAAGTTGAACTCTGTAACTATAAACTATTTACAAAACGCGAAAGTCTTTCTCTGTAGTTCGCTTTCATTTATTTACAAGTTCAAGCGATCTGGCGGTTTAATAACTCGTCCGCTTCTGGTTCTGGTTGATGACGTAGTTGAGCTTTCTTCAAATGCTGGTTGCTCTGTAGCTTCTGCAGTGTCATCTAGCTCGAAGTCATCCTGTGTTGGTAGTGGAATAGACTCGGCTTGTTGTTGACGTGGGACTGGCCTGAGGTGACGTCTGTTTCTGCGACGCATCTCTCCTGTTTCTGTCTCGATCTGGTATGATCTGTATGATCTGACTTTTTGGTTTCCTCTCTTCAAATTGCTTTTAATCGCTCATACGTATAATATGAATCATGTAAGTTGCATCAAATGAAATAGGAGGATCTAAGCTATCCAAATATGTGTCATTTGTTAATTATAATTGTGATTAAGTTATGATAAAACATCGATAATTATCGGTTTCATTTTTTTCTTGGACGCACTGTATATGCTAAAAAGCTCTTGCACAAGAATATTAAGGAATAATATAAGGGTAATAATCATACACAACGTAAATACTAATGAAACGACTTACGGTTCTCGCAGTTCTTGCCTTCATATCCAGGTACACAGGTGCAGTTATAGGCATCTATGAGATCGTAACATGTACCATCGTTCTGACACGGGTTAGAATCACATTCATTCGTCTCTGATAAAAGTAAGAGGAAATAGAAATCAGTACACCGTATTTCAAAGACAAAGAATTTTATACAAAATCAATATTTTGAAATAAAAAATGGCCAACTTGTATCACATGATCAAGACCTTTCAATTGATTTATCTTTTTTTATAAGTTTGAATTAAAAACCTGTTTAATACACATTTAAATGTTTGATATTACACATATAATATGTATGACGCAATGAAATGTAAAAAGGTGATTTACTCAAATAGGTCTGCGTTACTGCACGCGAACATGATATGCCACAAGCTATTTATCTGGGCCGAATTTCGGCTGCGTATGGTTGACAACTATAAACATCATTCATTTCCCGTTCACAAGACAATAAATAAATCAATATATAGACCATATTGCACATATATTCATCATGACACTGTGCATGTATCACTACAGCTGTGGAAGTGTTGCTGTCATTAATTTGGCTGATGTCAAAGGTAAGTGCACTTTAAAAAATGCTCTTGGTGATAAGGTTTGTTTCACCAGACAATCAATAATAAAGATTTTTCCATTCGAATATGGCATTATCATTGTCTGTGTGTATTATATATATTTTGTTTATTTACAGGGTTTGAATGGTGTAAAAATGATATCTTTATGATTGAAAAATGTAATGGAATATACAAATTAGATTTCCGCCTCTACTACGAGTCACATTCAATCGTCTCTGATAAAGGGGAAATAGAAATACACCGTATTTCAAACACAAAATACAATTATGTGCATTTTGATATAAATCATACCCTTATATTTATTAGCGCCTTAGATTATGTGTGTGATATAAAGCTTTCAAAATTATATTAAACAGATTTATTAATTCAAGATTATATTAAAGATTATATCAATTAAAAGGTCTTCATCAGATAATACATATTTGGTGAACTACAAAAAAAAAGTGATTTTTGACATTTTTCAAATTTTGAGCCACAAATGGAATACGTAAAAAATGTACGTAAAAAACGTGCTAGGCATCCCTTTATCTAAAAATCTTTTGTGTGCCCATGCCTTGAGCCATAATGCATAGCCGTACAGAGCATTTTTTTATGTTGGGACCGGGGTAAAATGCAATGAATTATTGATAATTTATTGCATTTTTATTTTTTGTTGTTGGAACCACCCCCTACCCTAGCCCCTGCTGCGTACAGTCGTGGTTCAGTGGCAAAGCAATGGCCTCGTAACTGTGAGGCCCCAGGATCAAAACCGTGTCGATGTGCTTTATTAGTGCTCTTTTGTGGGGCATTAGTCCTCATTAGTTGATAAGCATAGTATCATACACATGCTTTAGCAGTCATGCAAAACAAAAACTTGAAAATTGTTATTCAATACAAATCTGAGAATGTATATACACTATTATCTAGATCTATTGAGAATAAATCATTGTCAAAATAATTCCATAAATTGGGGTAATAAAAATTAAACAAACCTAATGAGCAACAGTGTATATACCTATATTACACCATAGATTGATCGGATGAAAGGAGAAGGAGAGAGAGAGAGAGAGGGAGAGAGAGGGAGAAGAAGAACGAAGGATGATTCGATTGATGATTTGAAAAGAAAGAGAGAGAGAGAGAGATATGAAAATATAATTATATAAATGAAGAGATGTAAACAGCGGTGTTGCATGGGTTCAGGTATAAATGTCTCACTGGTGTCATGGAAACCTTCGGTAACAAACATCTACAAAAAGACAAACAGTAAAAGCAGAGTGTGGGAGGGGGGGTCGAATAACCTTCTTCTCATATCGCATGATCCCTCCCCTCCCCCCATTTTTTCTCTCTGTCTCTCTTTTCTCTCTCTTTCTTTCTTTCTTTCCCCCTCTTTCTTTTTTCTTTCTTTAATTTGTTTCCTTTCATCACCATTAGATGGGGAGGAGGTCGTATAACTTTCTTCACATATCCCATTGATACAATATAATGAAAAATCCATGAAAAATCTTACCATTGCACGATGGAATGACAGGTGTAAACATTCCTAATTTACAGATGATGGATTCATTGTTAGTGATGGTGTATCCTGCGTCACACTCAAACATGCATACTGTATTACATGATACAATAGCATTGGTCTCGCAGGTGCCATCAATCAGCGATATGAGGTGATCTGGTAGTTCCCCAACATAGCATTCAGCTTCATATGGAAAGGAGATGGAAATAATCAGACCGGTAATTATAGATGCTGTATTACAACCGGGTATTACAACTACTGGCTTTCAACTATTTTTGTTCTCGATTACAGAGAATACTTTTAAAACTAACAAAATATTAGTTCATTTCGGATTTTGCATTTTTAGCTAAGTGTGTATTTCAACAATAGATTCAGATAACACCCACATATGTAAGGAATAACGTCGAGAGAGGGGAATTGTCCCTAGTATGTGTGTATATACTTTTACATTGTATTGTTACCTTGATCCTCGTCGCTTAAAGATACTAAGTCCCTTGTGCAGCACAAAAACGTACGACCATTCGGTAAAAGGGCCTGAAAGTCTGACTATTACTTAGGTGATTGCAATCACTGAAGTTGATTCGACAACTAATGGTCGTTACGTTTCCACTTAAAGCCATTTTCGAGCCCCTTCGTTTTGAGTAAAGTTCTAAATTAGTATTTTATTTCAAATGCCGTTTGAATTTAACCTTTTCCTTTGTTCAGCCTGTAAATGGGACATAGTTCCTTAAAGACAGTGGGGCTGATTGTATATATATATATATATATATGTATATATTGTTGTTTAATCCCTGCTAGCTCACTCCCTCACTTTCTCATTGATCCTGACACTTATCTATTATCGTTTTTTGCTTGTTTTTTGTATGTTTTTACAGTATAGTTACAGACCTCCGCTAATACAAGACCCTCATATAATAATAACAAAATCTAGGAGTTCAACAAAAATATCATGTCATTCTATGTAGATATTAAATATTGACCTAAAGGGGCGCTAGAGCCAAAGAGAAGTCGGGTTAGGTTGATTAATTGTACGGTTATTAGTTTGACTTGGTATAAATTTAAAAGTTAAATATCATTAATTATGTTTCCAATCTATTATGCTTTGTCATTGGTTATAATTAATTCAATGTATAACTCCGCTTTTGATTAGTCGGATGACCTAAGGATAATTTTATATATCCCGTCTGGTAATTGGTTGGCTTCGTAAGGGTTCTCCTGGTTGGCTGGTTATATCAGGTGATATCTAAGGCTCTTCGGGTGCCGGAGTATTTAAATACGATGTGCGGGATTTGGGGTCAGTTTTTATTTCATTCCATTTTCATGTTTAGGATGTGCTGCTAGTTTTACTGTCTATAGGGCCGCCCAGCCTCTAAGAGAATCAGCTAGTTTGAAATGTTCTAAATATTTAATCTTCGTTTGTAACTATGCTTCGGCTGACTTTTATAATCAATAAAGTGGACTTTAACTGTATATCCGAGCTTCTTTCGTTTTCATTTTGTTTCGAAACTTGTCGTCACCGACCCATTAACGGGCTCATTACATTATCTTGAAATAATTAATTTGCATAGAAGATATGTTAATACTGTAACAAAAAAATGTTCCTTTTATAATGTTGTATCCGAAAATATTAATATGAAGTATTACGACAACTTTTACTTTTTTTAGTTTATTGAAAATCTTTTTTTCTCTCCCGAATTGCAGAATCGTATCACAATTTGTATACTTGATTGAATATATACAGTAGGCTTGCGGGTGCACCATGTGAGAGAAAGAGAGAGAGAGGATTGAGGAGTCCTGAAAAGGAGTCTGACTCGGTTATCTTTCTTGGGGGTGTGTAGTCCTGAAAAGAACTGTTTGTTATCTTTCTTAGCTAATAGTTCTAAGGAGAACTATAGCGCTTGGAGAGGATGAGTGGCTCGACGTTTCGAACATGTTGACAATCCGTCGTCACGAGTGGAGAATAGTTGGCGTGGGTGAGCTTAAGTCACCGGGGTGTGGACGTCGGAGAAAAATAGGTGACAGTGTGGGCTTGAGTCATCAGGGAGTGGACATGGATGGTCGGCTCGTTCGTCTGACTGTCAGTCTGGGCTGGAGTCTCCGGGTTGCGGAGAGTTTCGAATCCATGAGTGGGGTGTGCTGTCGGCGAGACGCTCTGTGTGTCCCCGACGTAGGTGGCGTTGTAGTCTGCTGTCGTCTGCTGTCGTCTGCTGTGCATTGTAGCTGTGAGGCTGGGGGTTGCTTTAAGGGTTCGGCGGGGTGGCGGTGGTTGATGTACGGGTGTCTGTCGGGGTGGTGAGGGCGGTGGTGGAGGCGGTGGTGGAGGAGGAGTGACCGGGTACTTGTTGATGAGGGGTTTCCAGATGTCGTTGATGTATAATCCTGAGTCTTGGGAAACGGTGTTGTGGCGGTGAATTTCGATGGCTTCTCGGATTCGGCGTGTATGCCAGTGCTTCATTTATGGAGATGAAATGACTGTTGTCCCATCCGATGGTGTGTTCGTGTTGCTGGGCGTATTTGACGATGGCGGACTTATCCGGGACTTATCCCAATCGCTGAGTCTGAAGCTGGTTCTGTGCTCCTTGAGTCTTGTTTCAAGATTTCTCCCCGTTTCACCAATGTAGACTTTTCCACATTGCATGGTTTTGTAGACTCCAGCTTTCTTGTGGTTTGGACGCTTGTCTTTGTGGAAGTAGAGTATTGGATGGAAGTTTGTTGGAGGAACTGTGTCGAACTTGGATGTCTGCTGCTTGAAGGATAGGTTGAATCTTGTGAGAGGTATGACCGATATAGGGAAGAACAACAGTTTGCTTAGGTGGTGTAGCTGCGGGTTGGTTCTCTTCAGGGGTGGTATTGGCTGGGGTAGTTAAAGTCTGGATACTTATGACAAATATTTTTTTTAAAATGTCTGTGTTCATAATGTACTAGTGACACAGTGCACTATTTGTATACTGTAAGAACAATTATGTTCCTCTTAATCATTTGTATATGAAAATTTGAATAAAGGAAAACAAGCTTTACAAAAAAATAACAATGTGACTATCACGGTATCATCAATTCATAAATATTTTATCAAAGACGATTTTAGTAGAATTCTTACATACCAATCGCGTGAACAAGCATTTCGTTAAATAATTACACAAAGGTGCGCAATCAGTCGAAACAAGCTGAACTCAAAACAAGGGGGAAATCAGAGGTATATTGGATATTCCCATAGATCTCTATTACGTTATTTCTTATTGCAATAAAAGCGTTGATAATTACTATCGACTGTAAACTTGTGAACACCCGATTTTAATATCACCTTTGATGGATATTCTTCCATTTTTTATACCTTTATATATTTATTATACATTGGTGATCGAATGAGGCTAAACCAAATGTATTGAATGCTTCACTCGATGTACACGAAGTGTCATTTTGAGCTGAGTAGGCAAGTACCCCATGCATACGCAGAAATTAAAACAAAATGTTTACTACTTTTATTATGCAACCACTCTTTGTACGATACCCCCCGGACGATACATGGCGCCTCAAAGACTGCAGCACTCCATGATGCAGTCCTACGTCAGCTAAATGACACCTCGTGAGCAACATGCATTGTACTTACCAAATGAAGGTCTGGGGGGTCGTGACGTCAATGGAGAAGAACATGTACAGGTGCTGTTTGATCTTATACACACATCTTCCTCGGATAGCGCCACTACATACAGCATTGTTAGCACTGCAACGCATATGGCTGACTGCCAAAGCTGGGAATAAATAGGACAAAGTTTATATACAATTTAGTTATTGTGATTCAGTAACAATAACATTATGGTTTTACTGCCAATAAGATGCAACTTCACTTCCCCTCTTCCAATGCCCAACGCCACTGTTATATCCTTATTTTTTTTTTTTAATCTTTCCTCCTTACATGTTTATGATTGTTCCTTTTTTTTGGTTAAAGGCCTGACTTGTTTGGTTGTATAGGAACCTATTATTGAATTGAGACACAGAAATAAGTGATTATCATTGGGGGGGCTTTGGGCGCTAGCCCCCCCCCCCCTCCCCCCCCCCCCCCCCCCCCTCAAATAAAATTTAACCATGACTCCATACAGGTTATTATTATTATTATTATTATTATTATTATTATTATTATTATTATTATTATTATTATTATTATTATTATTATCAAGTGATTTATAAATATTCGTGATATCACATGATTTTCACCAAAATGAGCGTTTCTCCATTTCTGTTGCAAACTGACACACTCCCAAATAGCCAGGAAGAGCATATTTTTTTATAGTCACAGTTATAGTTACAGTGACACATGTAGAAAATTCCTTTCCAGAAGCTACTGCGACAAGCACTGCCGGGAGATAACATGCTACCCACAACAAGTGGGGCAACAGTCACACACTGCATGAAACAACCGTGTCAATTAATATCTCACCCAATCCTTAGATTTCCAAAAAGGCCATAAAAAAAAGGCAAAAAGAAATCCTGCCGATTACGCCAGTATAAGGGGATTCACTAAGTGTGCATGCACAGATTTGCAAACGAACGTTCCATACGTACATCATGTAACACTGTACGTGTACCGTTAAGGGGCCCAGTAGGGGAAGCTGAATTTAGACAAGGATTAAGAGTAGAGAACGGTAAACGAATCGTCTTCTTTCTCTAATAATTTAATGAAACGTGAAAGCTTCATTTTTTTCCCACTTGAGCTCGGGACCCCCAGTATGAACTTATTTGCATACAGCCAATCAGAGCTTTACGCGCGCTAAAGATGCGAAATTCAAAACTGTGCGAAGCTCTGGGCTTCACACACGTACACACAGCGCATTGTCTATATCAGCATGCATGGTGTGCGTGCATAGGCTTGCAAATGTTTAATTTCAGCTCTAACATCTCTACCTTTTAAATTTATTACAGATCTACAAATATCAGCTTATCAAATTGATGTGAAAAACTGTTATTTAGCACTAAGTTACAATTACTCAATCAAGGATAGGCTTTTCTCTTCATCGAAGCCACTATACATTATAAGGACTCATTTCTAAAGATTTTACGGTTAAAAATTTATTATAGATCTAGACTCTATTATACACCTCTAAATGGCTCTAATAATATCAGCTTTATTTTGTTACTTCTTTTATTGCAGGAATTCTTACCTGAGAACATCACAGCAATTTCTTAAGGTGATATTATTAGAGTCTTTTAGAGGTGTAGACCGTACAATCTTTAGAAATTAGTCCCTATAGTGTCTTCGATGACGATAAGGCCTATCCTTGATTGATAGAGTAATTGTAACTTAGTGCTAAATAACAGTTTTTCACAGCAATTTATTAAGCTGATATTTGTAGATCTGTAATAAATTTGCTAAAGGTAGATATGTCAAAGCTGAAATGAAACATTTGCAAGCCTATGCCTATGCACACACACCATCAGATGAGCTCTGATTGGCTGTATGCAAATGAGTTCATACTGGGTGTTCCAAGCTCAGGTGGGAAAAAAAATTACGCGCGCGGTATGGACTAAAATGATTTCAGACAAGGATTAAGAGTAATAATAAAATGAAACATCAAAGCTTCCGAGCTTTGCGCGGGAGGGGGGAACTGAATTCACATACAACAACACGATACAACGAATCGTCTTTTTTCTCTAAAAATGTAATGAAACGTGAAAGCTTCAGCGCTTCGCGCGTAAGGGGCGAAAATGAATTCAAACAAGGATTAAGGGAAATAATTTAATGACATGTCAAAGCTTTCGCGCTTCGTGCTGGAGGGGGGGGGGTAAACTGAATTCAGACAAGGACACGAACTAACGAATCGTCTTCTTTCTCTAATAATTTCATGAAACGTGAAATATTCCTCGCTTCGCGCGGGAGGGGGAAAACTGAATTCAGACAAGGACTCGATGTACAACAAATCGTCTTCGTTCTCTAATAATAAAATGAAACGTCATAGCTTCTGCGCTACGCGCGGGAGGGGCGAAACAAGAATTAAAAGTCTAGAATGATACAATGGATCGTCTTCTTTCTTTAATAATTTAATGAAGTGTCAGAGCTTCCGCGCTTTGCGCGGGAGGCTGGAAACTGAAAAATAACTTAGTTCCTGGACCCGGGTTTATAGGGTTAAATTTGTAGACATTGGGACATTGGCATTAATATATTTGTTGGTAATTGGTGGCTAGTTTTGTCGATAAAGGTCTAGCGACGCCCCTGATAACAACACAGTTTATACACTCGAGATAATTTGTGCAAGTACTACTGATGAAGTACCGGACCACCATTTTTGTGCATTGTGCAGCAACGAAGCATATACGACGTCTCACGACGTGACAGATCCCTTTCCCCTAAATTTCTAACCAATCAGAAGGCCTCGTTTTTTCTAGGTGGTCGGTGGACATTAATGCGCCAAATGTGGTTCTCAAATTCAAAAGATCCCTACTGTTGGAGGGGGTAGGAGAAAGCATTTTACGTCATATTACTCCAGGAAGTGTCTGGAAATGCGTCTAATGTGGTTCTAAAATTACAAATGCTTCCTACTCTGGAAGGATCCCATCCCAATTACGCCACTGGTGATTATAACAGTGCAGGGGCTGATCCAGGCGATAGGGAGGGGGGGATTTGTGAGAAATATGAAGAATCGCATGAATTTTTTACACTCATTTCGTGCGATTCGGTGTATTATTTTTGCCAGGATATCATTTAAAAACTGTAACTTTTTCGGCATTAATTGTTTGATAAGCCTTGGATCTCTAGGAGGTTCATTTCTCTGTTTACCTGTTTATAATTTGTTTACAATTTGATGAATTAATAACAAGTTTGCATAATTTAAAAGGATTTCTTTTTGTTTTCTATGACCCTCGGGTAAAATGATCTGTCTGGTTGCCATTTGGAAGGTGATGGACGTGATCGCTTGGCTATTATAATAAAAACGAATCAAGAAATATTGGATTTTGTAAGGGAATATTATGAATTTTTGTTCTTCAACAACATGAGGCAAATAGTAAGCTTCTAATAATTTCGGATTGCTGTTTGATTATAATTAACATTTGAGTCATTTTAAGAACCAAAATAAGATCCTTGCCATGGAAACAGAATGTTAAAGAAGTTGTTATTTTTTAAGCACGCCCCTCCAAAAATGAAAATGAGTGAACCGAATCAATAAAAGGGAAGATTAGAATATATATTCAAACCAAAAAAAAAATAGGAAAAAGAAATAAGTAGAGAATACAATCATGACAATGTACACAATATGTCATAAATTAATGTCTGTAGGGTACCTTTATTTGCATCTGGCTCGAGTTTGGCTAAGGTATTTGGTACTGGAGGATTAACATATGCCAAATTCGCTTCTTTACAAAATCGCATTATCTCTTATTCATTCTAGTTCTAATGTTTTCTGACTGTTTTCAAGACGATATCATATTTGTCGATCCAAGTTTTGGGGCAGAAAAAATCCGCATGACGACGACGCTCACATGCAGGCCCCGCTGACGTGTTTCGAAGTGGGTGGGGGAGGCTAAAGTATTTACGATCAGGTAGAGCGTAGCGTAAGTTGGTCTGGGGTCTGGGGGCCAAGTCCGGGAGAGGTTCAAGGGACAGAGCCCCCGGAAGCTTAGGGGGTATAAGCATTTCATAACGGTCCGTTATTTTGATACCTTATTTGTGACACTGGCAGGTCACTAATTGGCGTGGGGTTCAGGTGGCGGAGCCCCCGGAAGCTCAGGGGTTTTAGGCATTAAATAACGGTCAGATGATCATCCAGGGGCCTGCCTAAAGCCACCATCACACCGAACTAGTTCTCAATACGTTCTGTAAAATGTTGCCAAACGGGCTCAAACTGTGTGCGGACGGAGTTGAACGTAGTAGCAACTGTTTACGATATGTTTAAGAACTTCATGGACGGGCTCAGCCTGGCTATACGGGAGACTGCTCTAGAACTTTGAGCCTGTTCAAAATTGTCCCCGTCCTGCAATTAGAAGGAGTGACAACGTACTTAAAACGAGGAGAACGTACTACAAACGGACTGATTGCCGTACTTCGATCCTACTTGGAACGTGTTACAACGTGCTGTGGTCGAGCATGAATTGGCAGCAGCTAAGCCCCCATTACACCAAACTAGTTCTCACTTCGTTCCGGAACCGTCCTAGGAAATCGTTCAAGAACGGGTAATGGTCGGGTAGAATATGTAAATAATGTCTATAACATGATCCTAGATCGTTCATTAACAGTCCTCAATATCTTCATCTCGTCTGTACCCCGTTCACAGTCAGTTCACATCAAGTTCAGATCGGGTAAATTTGGCATTTCCAAGCAGTCCAAGCCCGTCCGTAATCAATTTAAACCAGTTCTTAACTCATTCTACCTCGTTCACAGTACGTCCTAACCATTCTAACTAGCTCGTTCCTAGGTCCTAACACGTTCCTAGTAAGACCGCAGTACGGCAATTCCGTTCATAGTACGTCCATCTCGTTTTAAGTACGTTGTCAGTCCGTCTTATTGCAGGTGGGGGACAATTTTGAACAGGCTAAAAGTTTTAGAGCACCCTTCCCGTGCAATCCAGTCCGAGCCCGTCCATAGAGTTCTTAGACAGATCGTAAACAGTTGCTTCTACGTTCACTCCGTTCGCGCACAGTTTGAGCACGTTTGGCAACACTTTACAGAACGTAGTGAGAACTAGTTTGGTGTGATGGGGGCTTCACTTGAATGTCTTGATTTGCACAGCTTGAATCGTTGAAGTTGAACGGGAATAAGGAATGACAAGAACGCGCTGGGGTTTTATAACCCTTTAGCCAGGACGTGCTTCCACACGCTTTAGGAGCGCGTTCGAACGCACTAAGAACGAGATGAGGACGAGCTGAACTGTCTCTG